GGCATTGTGTTTTATTTGTGTAAAGTTCATGGCTATGACTATCACCCTTCTACTGTCTCGTCATTTTTTTTTACTACCAGGTTCTAGCCTGTTCAACTTCCGCTACAACCATGAATCTCTTATATGATCAACAAGAGCCTAGCGATGCAATGATAGAGAAACCAAAACAAGGCCATTGGTGAAATCGACCATTAACTAGCAACGTAATTTGATCGAAGAAATCATTCGTTGTCTCAGCCCCGTGACTCTACTCGCCCCAAACTTCATTACATCTCCGCCGATGAGTGTCACTTCTTGAAGCTCTTCTTTTGATTGGCAATTCCAAATTAGGTTTACAACTAATGAGAGACTCGTATATAGTACAAAGATAGGTCAGCCTTGACTGCGTTTGATGGTGCTACGTGCAAATTGGAAACTGAATCAATTCTCATCTCAGTATCTACGAGACTATGATGTTAAGTCTTCAAGCTAAATGACACATTCATTGTACAAAAGTATTTTTTGGTTGAATAATAATTGTACTTTCATTAAAAAAAAAAATCTATGGCACTAAAATCTATAAATACTTTCCTCTTACCATTTAAATCTATCTATTATTTGAGAAGTGCAAAAGCTTATGTGGCAGCTCGAGGAACCCTTTCAATGGGATATTTAATTGTATTTATTTAATGATACCTTTAATATTTTTACTAAATTTTGTTCCATCGAAATTGTTTTACGGAATTGTCCTCCGTTTCGTTATTACGTGTTACTGGGTTTTTAGTCTTTTTAATATTACGGCCCTATATGACAAATTTTGGTGGGCTATACTAAATATTTTCATGGCCCATACACATGTCGGTTTGCTTAAAACCCTAGCTAGGTTCCTCTAATATTTTCTTATAAATAACATGCGAGCCCAGGTTTTATATCTTGAGCAAGTCGTTTTTATTAAAATTCTATATATTTTGTCGTTTATTATTATGCCGCTTTCGTTTTCTTAACCTAATCTATGATCTTCTGTTTTTCCGTTTTGCAGTTTGTATCGTATATGTTAAGGTTAGTGTTAATGCATATCGTGTAATTCTTAATATTCTTGTGTTTGTATTCGTTATTTTTAACCTTCACTTACACCCCGGTGTTTTGGTTATGAAGTTGTTTCGATACTATACTAATTTCCCCCTTTTTTTAGGTTTATCGTGATTCTTTATATGTTTCTTTGTTTTGTCGCGTTTGTCCTTATTAACGAGGTAAGATTTGGTTTGTTATATAATTTGTTTCTCATGTTTCATTGGCCAGCTTATCAAGTTGTACTAAGCAAATCCGTTTATCCATATGTTCTACGGTATATTTGTGTATATTGATGATTTATGTATTTAATCGGATTTAATACTTTGTGTTTCCTCCCATGTTGTTACGTCATTATTTTTTAGTTCTTGATCTAAACTGAATTCTTATGTTTACGTGTTCTCATACTTTTTAGGGTTTTGTGTAAATCTTGATATGTTTCTCTATATTGATACTAATCTAACTTTTTATTCATCTAGCTATGAACCGGTGAAGGTTATGTTTAGTTGGGAATTCAATGTTTGCATCGTCGTGTAAGTTTTAGATTATGTAATTTGTTATTCAATTGTTTTTTTAGTATTTATTATGTTAATATTGTTGGTCGTGCTTTTGTATGATGTTTAGATTTTGCATAAATCGATCCATGTTTAGGTTCTTTTCTCTAAGAAGGAAATATATGATGGGATACTCGGTTTCAATCATCTCGATCCGTGTTGAGTAAAACTGATATATCGATTCGTTGTTACGGAACTCCTTATGCTTTCGTAGATATAACTATGAAAAAGGGTATGTATCTCTATGTTAATCTCTTATGTTTCGTATATTTTTAATGAGTTTTATAGGTTTTCTGTGTCGGTTACTTGGGATCCCGCACTTGGAATTTGCGTCGGAGTGATTTGTTGGTTGAATGGAATC